GAGCCCCAAGTCTGGAATACTCTTCCACCTCTGCCTTTCCCTCTTAGAATCCCAACCTTCCTTCTTCTTGTCCTATATCTCTGGCCTTATCAGCCAGAAAGTTATTCTCACTCTTGCCTTCACTTCCTCTCCTCTCACCTACTCTTCAACTCTTCACAATCTGGCTTCTGATCTTATCACTCGACTGGAACAACTGTCTCCAAAGTTGCCAGTGATCTCTTAATTACCAAACCTGGTCTTCTCTTCTCAGTCCTCATCCTTCTCAACCTCTCTGATGCACTGGATACCAGTGACCTTCCCCTCTCCCTTCTCCTCTCTGGGTTTACCTCCAATTACTCTTTCCTGGTTCTCCTCCCACTCATCTGACTATCCCTTCTTTGTCTTCTTTCCTGGCTCATCATCCACAGTAGGTGGAACATACATACAAATAGGGCAGTTAGGTGGAACAGTGGATGGAGCCTTGGCCTTGGAATCAGGATTCATCTTTCTGAGTTCAAATATGGCCTTAGACATCAGCTGAGTGACCCTGGGCAAGTCACTTAACCCTGTTTGCCTCAGTTTCTTCATCTGTAAAATGAGCTGGAGAAGGAAATGGAAAACCACTCCAGTATCTTTTCCAAGAAAACCCCAAATGGGGTCATGAAGAGTCGGACATAGCTGAAACAACTGAATGACGAATATAACACGAATACAAAATAATGGGAACCACTCACAAATATTCAGTTCACAGTCAAGTTGGGACCAGGGGAGGTGGGGACAGTTTTTGAATGAAAACAACAATTAGAATAACAATAGTAGGCATTGAGATATAGGTTGAACAACAGCAGTCCCTTCACTGCGGGTGTTCCCCAAGATTCTGTCCTAGGTCCTCTTCTCCTCTTGGTAACGTCTTTTGCTCCCATTGGCTGAATTATCATTCCATTGCAGATGACTCACAGAGCTATTTAGAGCTCAGTCTCTCCTCTTAATTTCAGTGCCAAATCATCCGCTACCTTATAGGATGGTTCAAACTGAATGTCCCAGAGACATTTCAAACTCATCACATCCAAAAGGGGAAACGTTATCATTCCCTTCAAACCTACTCCTCTTCTAAACTTCCCTATTTCTGTCCTAGGATCAGTCTTCTTCATCTTCCAGGTGCTTAACCTCAGTGTTATTAATCAGATGCCAAATCTTGCCATTTCTACCTCCTATAATTTTTGCATCTGCCCCCTTTTCTTTAGTCCCACAACCACCACCTTCAGTTGGGGCCCTCATCACCTCTTGCCTAAATTAGTGCAACAGCCTTCTGATTGGTCTCCCCGCCTCAAGCCTTTCCCCGCTCCAATGCATCCTACCCACAGCGGACAAAAGGACTCTTTGCAGATCTAGCTTGATCAACTCCAGTGGTTCCCCATTGCTTACAGGGTCAGATAAACTCCTCTGGCTTTTAAAGACCTTTACAACCTGCTCCCAATTTATTATTCCAGCCTCATCATATATTACTTCCCTTCCTACACTCTACAATCCAGCCAAACTGTCATCCTCTCTGTTCTTCCTGGAGGATATTCCTTCTGTCATCTTCACACTTTTGCACTGGCTGCTCCCATGCAGGAACATACCCCCTCCTCATTTCTGCCCCACAGAATCCTTATCTATCTTCAAGACACAGCTTAAACACCACTTTCTACATGTAACATTTTCTGATTCCAATTGCCAGGGCCCTCCCTCTCTAACTATTCTGCATTTATTTTGTATTTGTGTTATCTTTGTCATTCAGATGTTTCAGCCACGTCCGACTCTTCATGACCCCATTTGCGGTTTTCTTGGCAAAGATACTGGAGTGGTTTTCCATTTCCTTCTCCAGCTCGTTTTACAGATGAAGAAACTGAGGCAAACAGGGTCAAGTGACTTGCCCAGGGTCACCCAGCTGGTGTCTAAGGCCAGATTTGAACTCAGAAAGATGAGTCCTGACTCCAAGCCCAAGGCTCTATCCACTGTTCCATCTAACTGCCCTATTTGTGTGTGTGTGTGTGTGTGTGTGTGTGTGTGTGGATAGCTATTTATATAATAATTTAATTATACATAATATATATTTGTCATGTATATATGTATATATACATATACACACATGTGTATATATGTGTGTGTGTGTGTGTATGTATGTATATCTATCTATCTATCTATCTATCTATCTATCTATCTATCTATCTATCCATCCATCCATATGTTTGTGCTGTCCATATACACATGTTTTTTCTTTCACTAGAGCACAAGCTCCCTAAGAGGACAGATTGTTTCATTTTTGTGTTTGTATAGCCAATGCCTAGCACAATGCCTGGTATATAATGGACACTTAATAAGTGCTAATTAACTAAGTGACTAAAGACAGATCAAAGGCGAACGGAGACAGGAGATAGAAAACTGCACATAACTAGCACTAGCCCCTCTTCTTACTGTTAGATCTCTCTGATGCCTACCAGATACCTACCTAGAACTCCATCTATTGCCTATTGCCTCAAGGGTAAGTTCTGCCCACCTACCTTGAGCCCACTGTCAAACTTCCTAGGTCAGAGCTATTTAGGCAGGTACTCATACTTCTGCCAAACGCCTGCTGCCAGACCCACATGTTGTCATGCAGTCTATACCTGCCGGAAATCTGCCAGATCTCCCTTGGAACCAACCACCTGACTGTCCACATTACCTGCTGCTGTTCCCTGTTCTGACCTGCTATCCTGCTCTCGTGGGTCTGTCTACCTCTGAGTCCCAGTATGGGCCATCTCACCACTGACCAAGTCCCATTCTCCAAGTCAACTTCTAACTCAAGCAGAAGTGGCCTACAAAGACGGTGGTTAGTTCAAGTGTGTGATCAAGTGTGTTTGTCTACCTGCCATCCACGATCAGAGTGACTTAAAAATATTAGCAAACTCTTTGTTCTTTGAGATTGTTCATTAAAACCAATGTAATTAACGCTTCTCCTTCTTCTGCATCCCAAATCTACGACTATGGACTCCAAACTCTCACAACTCCATTCTCTACTTTCAAAGGGAGACCCAGAACTATAGTGTTTTTAAATAAATAAAGTTATATAGGCTTACAAAGGAAACTAAACATAATGAAGTACAGTCATCAAAACATTTTTTAAAAATAAAGTTCATCTCATTTACCATGGATAACCACACATAATTCTAAGTCCAGAAAGCCAGGGATTCCCACATGTACTAACACACCTGGTTGACTGGAAGGGTTTTAAGCCTAAGGTCTGTTGGAGGGTTGGGAATATACCCTGGATGACTTAAGCTTTACACCTTACAAGGCCTGATTAACCCCAGGACCTGATTGAGGATTCCACTACTGGAGAAATGAGAAGAAGGATGGTGTTAGGGTCCCTATGGAGGAGAAGGTGTCTTGCCTAATCCTCCCAATGTCAAGGAAACCACAGACTCAATACCTAGTCTTCTGGCATACTTCCATTCCCCATCTATGTGGAGAAGATGCTTAGTGAAGGAGCCTCATTAAACAAGCAAACACCACGGGCATTTTAAGTTCCAAGTTCTGGGCACAGAAGGTGAGGCTGAGCAAATAGGTTTGGCTTCTAGTTTAAAGGACAGCAAAAGTCTTCAGCCGTGACTGTTTCCTGTTTTCTGTGACCAGGTTCCAGGAAGGTCTGCTGAGGTCACCTTGACATTGAACTGTGAACACTTTTCTTTACCTAAAGACTGGGCTTCTTCACCCTCCCTTGGTAGCCTGACATCTGGTGACCAAATCAGATGGCCTAAGCTGCCCATAGTGCTTAATACCTGACAATCTGGATCAACAGCCCTACCACTGTAAGCCTAAGCCAAGACTCCTGCTCACTGCTCCAGCTACAAGGCATCAATGCTTTCTAAGGTCTTTTTATCAACATCCTTTTTGTTGTTGTTGAGTTACTTTAGTCATGTCTGACTCTCCATGATCACATTTGGGGTCTTCTTGGCAAAGATACTGGAGTGGTTTTCCATTTCCTTCTCTAGCTCATTTTCCAGAGGAGGAAACTGAGGCAAACAGGATTAAGTGACTTGCCCAGGGTCACCCCAACAGTAAATGTCTGATGCCAGATTTGAACTCAGGAAGATGAGTTTTCCTGACTGCAGGCCTAGCACTCTATCCACTGTGCCACCTGGCTGCCCCACATCACCATCATAGAAACTCTGAAAAGGCTGTCCCAGGGATATGAGAGACCTTATAGCCTAAAAACAAATAGTACCTAAATCCTACCTGAAGGAAGACCCTGGTAACTTACTAAATATCAAGGGACAAGAAAACACAGCAGGAATGCGAAGAAAAGAGGCAGCATGAATATATAAAATCTTATTTCATATTTCATTTCTTGATTTAAAAAAAAAAAGACTATACAAGGCAGTTAATTTTTTAAATCTCCTAATATCAATTTAGAGTTAGAGGGGACCTTGGAGGTCATTAAATGCAACCCCCTCATTTTACGGATGGAAAAACTGGAGCCTAGAAATGTGAAGTGTCTTGCCCAGGGTTACACAGCAAGTTAAGAAGGAGGGAGAATTCAAATCCAGGTCTTCTGGACTCTGGGTCTAGTGCTCTATCTATTGCCATAATTGTAAAGTGCTTAACACAGTGTCTAGCACACAGTAAGTGCTACATAAATCGTCTTAGCTGTGTTGATGATGACCAGACAGTTTTAACCTGGGGTCCTTGAACCTAAAATTTTTAGAAATAATTATTTCAATATAGTTGGTTTCCTTTGCAATCCTAGGTATTTTACTTTATTTTACGCATTTGAAAACGTTTCTAAGAAGGGATCTGTCCATAGGCTTCATTAGACTGACTGCCCATGGGGGACCATGAAACAAAAACTGCTTAAGAGTCCCTGAACCGTAGCTGCCTCTTTCTTACTTTCTGTGAACTAAATATAAAGGTTATAGACATAATGCTGTGTGATCACTAACCCAAGAATAGATGAGGTCATTTGTGTGACCGGTACATTATTAAGATCACGAGCATTTTACCTGCAAATGGTGGTCCCAGCAAGGCAGATATTCCATTGGCACAAATGATGATGCCGTAGGCATTTGCAAGGTTTTCTATGCCCACCAGATCTTCAGTCACCACGGGCATGAGGGAGAAATAGCCACTAGAAAAGCCTATCAGGGCACACATGGCTGCCAGGCTAGCATAGGTGTCCATCAATGGCAGAATAAGGATACTGATGACGAGACTCAAGTTGGCCAGCAGAAAGACATTCCAAACGCTGATGCAGGGCAGGTCAGCCACAATTCCAAGGATCACTTTTCCAAAGATATGAACTATTGCTATGATTGAGGTCAAGGGGAAAACATCGTTTTGTTCAGACAGATTGTACAGCTTGACTATTTCTGGGAGATGGATAAATGGAATGACAAAGCTGCTATAGGCAAAAAGAGCCCAGAAAATAAAGGCTACGAACATCCGATTTGTAAACAGGGACGCAGCTCCAAAATAACTGGAGTACCAGTCCCAGAAGCCCTTCCGGATTCTAATGGTAAATCGGCTCACTAGCTTAAGAACACGGAGAACGTACATATTCTTTCCAAGTCGAACTTTGTCTTTGCCTTTGCTTTCCGGGCTTGGGGTATTACTGAGCATTTCCTCCTTCACTGGCCCGTCCTCTCTCTCTTCTGCTTTGTTTAAGTGCCCATTCGATTTTATGGACTCCGTTGAATGGGACAGAGGGAGTTTGAGATCCCTCTCCCCACCTTTGCTCTTAAGGATTTTCTTGCTTTGGGTCTCACTGGGAGCGAGAGGTCTCATGAGTGCTCCGCAAACGCAGAGGTTCAAGGAGACGGCCCCTTGGATGAACATTGCGCTTCGCCATCCATATTCTGAGCAGAGATATTTTAGTAGGACGGTCATGAGGAAGGTACCGAATCCTGTCCCGGTTGTACTAAGCCCCTGAGCTAGGGCTCTTCTCTTCTGAAAATACTGTCCCACCATGACTACCGCAGGGAGATAGACCATACCGCTGCCAAACCCTGTCAACAGATTTTAAGAAGGAAAATGAGTCTTAAAAGGCCATGACTTGATTTGAATATATTTAAAGCAGTTTTGGCTACCTATAGATAAATCCTAAAGGCAATTTCTGGCCCACAGAAAGGTGGTATTTTTTTCCCTTTAACTTAGCTTTCTCACTGGGCTATGTTGCATATACTAGACTAATGATAAAATAAATTTAAATAATATTATTTAAAGATGTTCTGTTTGGGCATCCAGGCAAGTAATTATAAGGGTGACCAGGAGACAATTTGGGGCAGTTTTCAGAAACTACAGTGTGTAAATATGTTTAATATGATTATACATGTGTAACCTTTATCAGATTGTTTGCCATCTTGGGGCAGGGGGAGGAGAGAGAGGGAGGGAGAAAGAAGTTTGGAACTCAACATCTTAAAGGTGAATGTTGAAAATTTTCTTCACATGTAATTGAAAAAAATAAAATACTATTAAAAAAAGAAGCTAAAGTCAAGATCTCATCAGGGCATAAATATGCACTGGAATCACTGGAATCATACACAGTCACTGTGTGACTTGAGCTGGGAGTGTGGGTGTTTATCTCTATCAAGTGTTCGTAAACTCTCTGCCTAGGGTGTCTTAAGTCCGTAAATCCTGGCCATTAATTTTCTTACACTTCACTCTTCTCCAGATACTCTGTGATCCGTAAACTTGCCATTTCTTAAATACAACACGCCATCACCCATCTTTGTGCTGCTGTACTGTCTGGAATGCCCCCAAGCCTGGAATGTTCTCCCTTCTGACCTCTACCTCTAAGAATCCCTGCATTTTTTCAAGTCTCAGCCCACACGATACCATATCTGCAAATGGCCCTTCCCCCAAGCTGCTCATACTTTCCTCTTTGCAATTACTTTCCACATACAGATATTGTGTACATAACTAATTATATGCAGGTTGTCACCTCCATTAGAATGTGAGCTCTTGAGGGTAGGAACAGCCCTCCGAATTTCTTTGTATCCCCAACCCTTACCACAGTCCCTGGCACATAATAGGTCCTTTATAAATGCTTGTCAGCTTGACTTAATCTCCTCAAGCCTTGGTTTCCTCATCTGCAAAATGATGGAATTAGATTTCATGACCTTTAAAGTCTCTTCCAGGTCTATTTTTGTGACACAGTTTATGATCTGGTAATGATACTAATAGTAAATAGTAAAAACTTAATCTCCCTGAGTCTTGGTTTCTCATCTGTAAAATAACGGGGTTGGCCTCGATCAACCCTAAAGTCTCATCTCGGCTTATTTCTGTGACATATTTATAATTTGGTAATGATATTAATAGTCTATCAAATGCACCTTGTTACCAACTGGCCAAGCTGTTGATGCCTTTGTTTGGAGAAGACCCAAAGCATTTTCTGAAGCAGAACACCATAGACTGCTGGAAAACAGCCCAATTTCTTGTCTCTGTTGCTCACAGCTGACCCTGAAAGCAGGGTGAACAGACCTCTCTCCACCGAACCATTCTGCCCTTGTCTAGATATTTCAGCGTTAGCTCGTGGCTTTGGTTCGCATTTGAAGCCCTCCAACACAAAGCTCATAAAGGTCCATGGGTATTTGTAAGTTCCAAAGTAAAACAGATTCTCAAAGGAGAGGAAACTTCTTACTTTGTTGATTCCTCTTTGCAGTACAGAAACTACTTGTGCTAACTCTATTTCTGCCTATGGTGGTCAATGAAGAGAGGCAGCTAGGTGACAGAGTGGACTTGGAAGTCAGGAAGCCCTGAGTCCAAATTCCATCTCAGACATTAGCTGTGTGACTTTAAGCAAGTCGCTGAACTTTTCTGATCCTCAGTTTCCTCATCAGCAAAATGGGGATAATCATAGCACTTATTTCACAGTAAGGCTCAAATGAGACAATGGATGTAAAGGGCTTCAGAAACCTTAAGTGCTATAGAAATGTGAGTGGTTATCATGAATGATGACTGAAGAGCTCTGTCTGTCTCCTGTAGCGTCTAGCTTTATGGTGTGACCATTCATAGCATCTGCCTTTACCTTCATTTACAAAGACCTCTGTATCCAGGTCTGGCCAATATTCACCTCCCTTGTGGAGAACCTTCTCTGAATTGGTCTCCTAGTGACGGGAGTTTCTTACAGCATTCAGTAACTAAGCAGTGATTTAGTAATTGCGCATGAAAAGAAGGCTGTTTCTGTGCTACTATGTTTTATGGCTCTTTCTATGAAATAGTATACTCAGATGCTGGATGATCTGAGAGTGGGCCAACCCTGATGACTCAATGGATGGCCACCATTGGGCAAAGGGCTGTGTCTGAGAGCATGCAGTGGACCCTTGCAAATCACCTGGCAGAAGTGCAGCTGATCCAGAGTTCAGACCCTGAATTCTGAACTAACATTTGAATATGGAAAAAAACTGGCTAAAATAAATACCATGCATAACTTCCAAGGAGAGGTAAAGCCAAGAAAGGGTCATCCACAGATTTCCCACCAAGCCCTCTGAACCATTCTTGTTGTGTGACTCTGGACAAGTCACTTAATCTTTCAATGTTCGGGCAATTTTCTAAGGCTATAAGTTATGGAGGAGTCAGTGATCTGCCTATGTGAAAGATGTTTCCACACTGATGAAATCACGTACCCTGACTTTCTTCCTGAACCCTCCCCAAATTCCAAGAGCACATAAGACAGTAATCTCTAAATCCCTAATGATTCTCTAAATCCTAATGATTCAAGTAAACTAGAACAATTTCGGGTTAGTAGAAGACTTATTTTTAAATACCTGGAATCTATATGCTACTTGTGAAAAAAGTGAAACTCAGAGGTATAATTTGAGCTGATAGACATCTAAAGATGTATAATTTCTGCTAAAGTGGTATAAATCTTGAATTAAAACCAGTTGATTTGGGGGCAGAAAATCCCTATAGAGATTATTAAAATTTCCCAGAGATTACTATAATAATTAATTTCTTGACTTTTTTTTAAACATCTTGTCACTTCTAGATAATCTTTACAGACAGAAGAATAAGGAAGGAAGGAAGGAAGGAAACATTTATTAAGGGCCTACCATTTGCCAGGCGCTCTACTAAGTACTTTACAGATATTATCTCATTTGATCCTCACAACAACCACGGCAAGTAGGTAATATCCCCATTTTACAGTTGGGGAAATGGAGGCAGACAGAGGTTAAAGTGACTTGCCCAGCAGGATCACACAACTAATCTGGATCTGGAGCTATTTGAAGAGTGTGTTTCTCTGGTCCATGCTTTAGACTGCTCTTTTGACTCTCTCTGGGCTCAGACACTTGTCTGAAGCCAAATTTGAACTCAGATCTTCCTGACTATAGGCTCAGTGCTCTAACCATTGAACCACCGAGCTATCTTTTAAGTTCTATTTTGAAAGCAAAGTTTCAGCTTCCACACAGGCAAATTTTCACTTAAAGACCTAACCACCTCTGCTGTAAAATGACAATATTCATTGTTGAACTGTCTTGAGTGTCATAGCCAAGAAAGACTGTCATTACAAGGTTCTAAGATAAGAAAACATTTTAAAACCAAGTTCAACAAGAGTTTTTAAAGGTCACTAAATGTTGATTACTTTGGTCAGGATTGCTGTGCTGCTAATAATTTGTGATATTTTTGTGTGTTTCCAAGAAATAACACTGGATTTGGAATGAGAATTCAAGTTTGAATCCCAATTCTGTCACTTGCTGTGTGACCTTGGGCAGGTCACTTAACTTCCCTAAAACTCAGTTTCCTCATCTATAAAATGAGGAGGTTGGATTACATGGCATCAGAGTTTCTCTCCAGTTCTGGATCTATGATTCTATAATTTAATGGCTCAGGAATGTCCCTCCTAATACATATTTATACACCATATATAATATTTGTATAAATACACATGTATTTATATATATAAAATATAATAACGATAATAATATTGTTGTTGTTCAGTAGTTTCAGTAATGTCTTCATGGCCCCATTTGGGGTTTTCTTGGCAAAGATACTAGAATGGTTTGCCATTTTCTTCTCCAGCTCATTTTACAAATAAGCAAACTGAGGCAAACAAGGTTAAGTGACTTGCCCAAGGTCACACAGCTAGTAAGTGTCTGAGGCTGGATTTGAACTCAGGAAGATGAGTCTTCTTTACTGCTGGCCCAGCACTCTATCCATTGCACTACCTAGCTGCCCAAATAATGAAAGTAGCTGGCATTTATGTGGCACCTACTATGTGCCGGGTGTTGTACAAAGCAGTTTCCAAATATTATTTTGTTTGATCCTCACAATAACCCTGAGAGGTAGATACTGTTATTATCTCCATTTTGCAATTGAGGAAACCGAGGCAGATAGAAATTAAGTGACTTGTCCAGCATCACGCAGCTAATAAGGATCTGAGGCTGAATTTGAACTCAGGTCTTCCTGACTCCAGGCTCAATGATCTGGCTATTAGAATCTTAGAAAGGAGAAGATAACAGAGGTGACCAGGTATTAGTATGCTAACAAAGTACAAAGATATGTCTGTTCCTTGTCCTCGTCCCTTCACAAAGGATGAAAGAGTTCTCTGATTGAATTGGAAGAACAGGATGAAGACTGGACACACTCGTGGAGGCCTTTAAAAGGTTAAGCTTGTGGGGCAGCTAGGTGGCACAGTGGAAAGAACACCAGCCCTGGAGTCAAGAGGACCTGAGTTCAAATCTGACCTCAAACACTTGACACTAGCTTTGTGACCCTGGGCAAGTCACTTAACCCTGATTGCATCACAAGACAAAACAAAAAAAGTTAAGCTTGCCAAGGCCAGGAGACAGTTGAATAGTAGGAGGGATCTGAGGCTGGGAGCAACTCTGTGGAGTGTGACTCCTAAGTGAAAGGCTATATTGGGGAGGATATTTTCTCTCTTTCCTCCCCACTGGCCAGGAGAGTTGCTCTCCTAACAGGAGACATCCCATCCTCTGCAGGTAGCCCAAAGAGAGCATAGAAAGCAGTCTGAGGCAGGGAGCAGAGAAACACTCTCTCTAAAAAGATC